CCCCCCTTGATCCAAAAGATGGACATGTGATTTCCTTCAAGGTGGCCTCCTTCGATTCACAAGTTGGACCACTGTACTGCCAAACTCAAGCCAGCTGTGCTGCTATGCAGCAGTCCTGCACCAACCTGCCACTAAGCTCCAAAATACTGATAAGCCTGCTTTGTCTCAGTCCTGTACTTGTACAAAAAAGGAGTGCACAAGAGCTGCATTGAAGAAAACAAGGGGGCAATATACCCAAATAATTCAAATATTATTTGATTTCTCCCTAAAACCATATCAAAGCTCGCCTATAAATAAGAGGCTTCCAGCACATGTTTAAGAGAGGATTTTTTGGACGAGAGGAACGAATCCCCCAAACTTTCTCAAACACAAAAATTTCTCAAGTCCCTTCAACACTTGTGAGAAAAAAATCCAGAATCCCACACACTTCAGTCTCCTTCGATTCTTAAGAACAACCACACTGCAGTCTCCTTCGAATCAAAGAAGCATCACACTTGCTTTTTCTTTTCCTTCAAATCCAGCGTTCCAAGCACAACCGTTGACCCCTCTTTCGAATCCAGCACCCTGGGCCACCACTCAAGGCCCCACATCCATTCAAGGCCTGAAGTAAGGTAAGTCACTCTTACCTTTGAACTTTTCGTTTCATAACATGTAAATAATCTTTTGTTCGTTTCCAGCATGTACATAACACTTTGTTTCTTTTCGTTTCCACCCTGTTAACATGTTTTTAAAAGCTACCTCTTTCGTTTTTTCTTTCTGTTTAACTATTAAACTGTTTGAAAGACAAATACTAGCATGGCCTCAGGCCATGTTGTCATTTAATGTTTGAAATAAAAGAAACAGGAAACAGGAGTATGAAACGAAGCCTTTGGTTTCCACACTGACTTCCAGGCCCAGCCAGAGACACGCTTCATTGACTTCCAGGCCGATTGAAAGACAGAACCTCACTAGTGCCAACCCCCTAATCGAAGGACAGAACCTCACTGGTGCCAGCCCCCAGTCGAAGGATACAACTTGCTGCTGCCTTTGCCCAGTCGAAGGATACAACTTGCTGCTGCCTTTGCCCAATCGAAGGACAGGACCTCTCCCCTGCCAAAGCCCAATCGAAGGACAGGACCTCACTGGTGCTAGCCCCAATCGAAGGAGGCCAACAGAATGTGAATCGAAGGATGCTCCTGCCTGGGTCAAAAGACACTCACTTTTCTTACTTTTATCTTATTTTTTCCTTCATATTTTTTATGCCTTTTGATATGTTTGTAATAGCGTAGGTTTTTATCTTTCTGCATTTTTTTACTTTGTACAAATGCTAGTAATTAGGTGTATGGCAAGATAAAATCAACAAGTAAACAAATCAAAAAAATCCAAAAAAAACACTCTTTAATCATTACTTGAATATACTTTAAAACATGCAAAAACACTCAACAAATCAAAACTCCCCCCAAGGGCATGTTATCTCCGTTCTACTGCGATACTGACCGTGCCTATTGCTAGAATGCGTACGTTAATGTCGCCCACTAAAAAACACAAACAAATCAACTTTTTTCTAGAGGAACTATGGTGTTTTGATTCCTTCATTGGATACGTAGGAAAAGGGTCGCGAAACCCTCACGAACGCAATAATAAAAACTCATTTTTTTCCCTTAAATAAACATAGTTGTAAATAAATACACCCTTGTATATAACAAACAATTTTAACAAAAAAAACAGATATTTCAAAAGGTTCTTGCGGAGTACCGCAGATGCATTGGGTGCTAATACCTTCCCATTGCATAACCAACCCCCGAACTCTTGATCTCTTTCAAAAACGCATTGTATTTTCATTATTTTACATTGCATGTTTTAGGGTTTTATTTCGCTCTTTTTCCTTTTCCCTTGGAAATAATAAAGCACGGGTGGCGACTCTTGCTTTTGCGAGTCGAGGTTAATTAATAGCTCGATCTCCGATTTTCATCGCTACAACCATATCCTCTTCAAAGTTTGTGGTAACCAGGTTGATGAGATGATCGTACTTCTTGGTGAACAGAGAATTATTGGGAACCCTTGATGCTAATTTCTTAAGTTGAGGAGGTACTCTCAAGAAGGTTGATTCAGATGGTATTTCTTCGTGCAGAAGCCATGTCCTACAAAACAGCACAAGATAAATCCCAAAGTCCTTGAAATGGTTAGTGCAAATTCCATGGTATGATGTCATGATGTTATGTACAAATAAACATACACAAGCAAAGCAAACAAGTCCTTAGGTTTAGGCTCTCATGAGGTTTCATTTGTAAGTACCCTCTTGAAGTTTAGTTGGTTCAACCTGTCCTAGAAAGTAACTGGGTTCTAAGGGATCTCAATATCATTGATCTTTCTTCATTGGGCATTGTTTCAGCGTAAGCCTCTTTTTTGGCGATTGAAATATCCCAAAATTCAGATCTCAATGAGCGTAGTATCGAGTATCAACCAACTTCGGATTTTCACCAAAGCCGGCTATCTCACTACTTCCTAATGGCCAAGTTGTTCAATTAAAGGTTCTAAGGTCCGTTAGTGCTTCATGACACCACACAGCGGCCCCGGGATATCGATACCCATAAATGTTGTCACACTTAACATAGCTATTGTCTCAACTATATCGGTCTACACCATACAGTCTCCATAATTTTTGCTATTTACCTAATGATGTTCCCAGATCCGGGTAGAGGATCAATACAAACCCAAATAAGGACCCATAAATGTAAAGCAAACAAATCAAACAATAAAATCAATTAAATATGATCTAGCTCTAAGGTAACCCTACTTTTAAGTTACTCCCCAACAGAGTCGCCAGTTTTGTAATACGGTGGAAGAACTGACTTGGGTGTTTTGCGTTTAATCGCAATTGTTGCGGATAGCAAGAGTCGCCACCGACTTTTATTTTATCCAATAAAGGAAAGGGTGGAAAGAATAGGAAAGGCCTTTCGATAATTTTTTTGAGTTCGGGGGTAGGTTATGAAAAGGGAAGGTGTTAGCACCCTTTTCATCTGTAGTTATCTACGGGATCTTAGTTGCTTGATTACTTTGAAAATGCTTTGTTTGAAATATGTTTGTGATTGTTTTTGAAAGTATTTTTGAAAAGTGCCTTTGTTTAGACGAACTTTGTAATGATTCCCGTCTCTATAAGAATGTATACAAAGTGTTATCTTTTTGAAAATATTTCATGTTTGAAAGTGTTGGTGTGTTTGAAAGATGTTGTTTTGAAAATGTTGTGAGCAAGCAACTGTGAATGTTCTACCTACTCAAAAAGATCTTTGTTCTTTTCCTCCTCCTTTAGATGTTTCTATCTTACCATCGATTTGATAAGAAGCTCTATCATTGGATGTGAAGCGACAAACGCGGGTCATCGTACAGTCATAGAACAACTTGTGAGACGCTCTAGCAATTTTCGTAAGGGACTAAGATTGTTTTACCGAAGGAAACGTCGAAGGGTTATCGAGGACTACGATCTTTTTATCGAGGGTCTTTGCTAAAGCGTCCCACATTCGAGGGACATGATTATATTTTTTCGAAGGCAACAAGCGAAGTAGCCCTAGAGGTGCGCGTGTGAA